AGGCAGGACATCCCAAACCAGGAAGAGGACAGGCAGGTGTGACAGGAACCATGCTAGCTATCCTGACCTGCCCCAAATGCCACACTCTCCAGCAGAGCCTTAAAAACAACTTTCCCAGTGTTTTCATGATTTAGATCACAGTCTGGCCAGACTCAGTGCATGCTTGCTCTCTCCCCTACAGACTGAGTCAGGTGCTGAGTGGGTGGAGGGCTGCCTCGGTTGTTCTCGTGGCTGATCCGGGAGCTAGCAGGGCAGAGAAAAACCCACAAAAGTATTTATTCCCCTTTGGCTGACCCCAAGACCTGTGAAAAACAGGAGATCATTGAAAAATAAAGGTCAAAGGACCCTGGAATTGTCCCCCTCCTGCCATCCCACCAGAACAGAGCCACCATCATCATCATCATGGGCTTCTTTATCTCAGAGCATCGCTTGGTATCAGCTGACTGGCATTGGTGTGGCCATGGGTGTTACGGGCGCTCGGACCTGCCCCTCACATCTTGTCTCCTTCTCTCTCCTCGCGCTCCCAAGGTCGGCTCCGTGGTGGCCGTTGGCTGGATCCGCTCCAAGAAAGCCGTTGACTGGCGCCTTTTCCGCAACATCTTCCTGGCGTGGTTTGTGACTGTGCCAGTGGCTGGCTTGTTCAGCGCCGGGGTGATGGCACTGCTGATGTACGGGATCCTGCCTTATGTCTGAAGAGCCTCCTCCGCTGGGAAAAGGGGAAACGGCCAAGCTACGACCAAGGGGAGAAGCGTTCCCGTGAAAGAACCAGTCAGAGAGGATCCATGTTCCATATCTAATTTCTTATCTACTGTACATAACAATGTGTCATATTGGTGACATGGTGATGTGGTGCCATTTCTTATATATTAAAGAAATATATATATGCATATAGTAGGTAACGATACCTAAGTTATATTATCAGTGGGGTGAAAATAATTGCCTAGAATTTAATATTTAGTAAAATTTGTACATAGTGTATCATTTTGGTGGCAATTTTTTAATCTTTTGAAGAAGAGTATGGATTAGGAAATGTTTATTGTCCATTTGATATAAGAAGAAGCGAGGTACAGGACTGCATAACACAATTTTTTTTAAAAGTTATTAAGATACTGGAACAAAATAAAACGTGCAGAAGTGCTTTTCATAAAATAACTTTGTTCATATCGTATTGATCTCTGTGTATCATAGCGTGATGGTTATGGCTGTGTAAATACTTACAAACAGTAACTTTTAAAGGGTGCATTTCCCTTATATATTTTGGATAAGAAAGTTTAGGAAGTACCAAAGAAGCAGGGGAATAGCTTGCCGATATTATGTTGTTGTCTACAAATGTGGGCGTGTGTTATGTTTCCCCACCTCTAATTCAACGTTGTTTTCACCAAGCTCCCACCAGTGAGGCTTGGATAGTACTGTTCATGTCTTAATGTAACTTAAAAAAAAAAAAAGCACACAAAAAAGTTAGTTCTCATTACTTAGTAGGCAGACCACAGTTCTCCACATTAGCTGATAGTAGACTGACTTCATTTTGTGGGTTGGATTTGAAGTATCTCACTGCTCACCTTCTACATTTCCCCTTCAAGTCTCGGCTCCCGGTTGCCCTACTGTCACTTCCAGCGGGAGAACAGACTGTCAGTCTCCCCTTTTTCTGTCCATCCAGCCACAACCACACACTCTCAGGTACAGGAGCGGGACCGCGGGGTGCACAGCACCCCCACGTACAGAAGCGAAGGGCAGCAGCGGGTAGGAAAAGGGCTTAGCCCTGGTTTTGTGGTTAAAAGTATGGGCACCCAAGGGACTGCAGACCCACGCAGGGGCTGGCATAAGGAGCACGGTGAGGATGGGAGCAGGTGCTGGGTCCCTCCCTGGTGAGTCCTATCCCACGCCACAGCTCACCAGCCTCCTGCTGTGCTGCCAGCTGCAAGGAGGGGATGGGAACCTGGCCCTGCGTGGGTGGAGGTTGCGTGGTAACCAGCATTTGGGATGATTTTTTCAGGGCAGCTCAGGGGGAAATGGCTAGCTACATCCCCTGTACGCCTTTGGAAAACACATTGGGGTGAAGGTTACTGTTTGATGGGTGGTAGGCAAAGGGCAAGGGGTGCCCAGAGGAGGTTGGGAATCTATTACTGTTTAAATGCTGCTAAAATTTTGATAAAATGTTCTTGGTACTCCATTGTGACTTTTCCATTGGTCATTCATACTAAATTTATAATAAAAAGATAAACAGCCCCTATCACTGTTTGCCTCTTGTGTTTTCTGAGCGTTACTCAGCCGTGCCAGCCGTAATGGGAAGGCTGCGCGGGCAGCCAACACTTAACTCCTTGGCATCTGCCACCTTTTGTTCTTTGTCCACCGGGGTTGGGGTCAGCGGGGATGAAACCGTGCTCTGTGCGGTGCTGACAAAGCCTCCCTTTTCTTCCAGCCCTTGCTCTGCCGGGGCTTGGCTCACGTGTGTCTCCCCAGCGAGGCTTGGGAGCTCGGGGGCCGCTTTCGAATGCATTCACTGGGCACTCACTGGTTCCAGCTGCCCCGCTAACCCTCCTTTCTGGCGCTCTGTAACCATCCCTGTTGCTGCGGCACCGTGGCGCTCGGTTTCCAGCCCCTCTGCAACCCTAGAGCTGTGGTATAAATAGTGTTGGCAATCGGGTAGGACCGATGAGCAGCAGCTGAGTGAGCAGAACCGTAAACGCACAAAGACAATTTGGGACCTGTGGAAAAGGGTGGAAGGACTCACCATATCTTAGCACTTGCATAAACAAATGCCTGCCCAGTGGCCCAGCAGCTTGCCACCTTGTTTTAGCTACAGAGACAAACCAGGCTTCCCTTACTCCACCGGCAGGGACCCAGCTGCAGCCCTGCCAGACACAGGCAGCATGCGGAGGGCTTTGCTGGCTCCAGGGGTTATGTGATAATCCCCCAGCACATGCAGCTGGGCATCTGTCAACACACACATTTATTAATAAAACTGTTCCAAGGGAAATGGCCAGCAAGGAAGCATCTCCAAAATATCCCTGCCCCAAATACAATAACCTTTAACCTGGAGAGAGATGGAAAAAACCTGAAGTGACTTTCTCCATGCCACAGAGGTGTCCTTTGCCACCCCAGGGAAGCAGAACCACCACAGGGGAAGCACAGCTGGTGAAATGCCCTGCAAATATGAGCATGGTTAAAATGTCCTTCACTCAGGCAGCAATCAAAATAGGTACAAGTCTATTTTCAGAGGAAGAAATGGTGGGGGTTTTGCATTTTTGCAGCAGCGTGGAGGCTCAGTGGGGCCTGAGAGCCAAGCCTCATTTAGCCAAGACCCTTTAGCAAGCAGATGCTGATGGACCTCGACAGAGGCTTGGGAAGCTTTGCACACCACAGGGCTACTCTGCCTCCTGAACCCAGTGCTATGGCAGAGGTTATCCCACCGCGGTTCACAGCCATCAGGGCTACAGCCCTGGGCAGGGCACAGAACTTCATGGTTGCCATCAGGCAGACCTTGCTGCGTGCTGGGCAGGAGCGTGCACAGGCTGCTGGGGGCTGGATGCTCACCTCTCAGGAAAGGCGAGGGCAAGAAACAGCTCAGGAGGTCAGAGAGACAGAAGCCTCATGAAAATATTTATTACAAGTAAAAACTCTTTTAAGTGAGGAAATGCAATCCGAATTTCAGGAACCAAAGTGTCTACTGTGGCTCATGGACCAGTGGTAAAATCCTTGACTGAAACCAGCCTGAGAAGGAGAGCCAGCTGGCAGGGTGTGAGAGTACTAATAGACTCTTTACCCTCACCAAGCTCACCTAGTGCCTCTAGCCTCCACCTCACCTGCTTGTCAGATTTCCTAGCTTGCCCTGGGACTTGCTTCATCCTTGCACGTTGTCTGGTGGTCACTTGGCTGTTGCTACCAGCTCCCGCTGCTTGGCGTGTGCCCCACACTGGTGAAGTTGCTGTGGCATGGTAACCTGGGCGTCCTGGTTTGTCCTCCTCCATGGAGCAGCCCTGCTCTTCCAGCACCCTGCTGCTGGCCTCCTACCTCCAAGGTAAGTGCCCTGGGCACTGGTTAGACTGGCTGAGCACCCCGTAGGGCAGAGGGTCTGCCCATGCCGCAGGTACTGAGACTTGTTTTAGTGTTGGTAACTTAATGCTCCTTGCAGGGCCATGTGTGGTGTGAGAGCCCAGAAAGTGCAGCTGGGGAATGTGTGGGCAGGGCAACATGAAGGCACAGGACCCTTAGTTTGTTTGCAGCAGAGAGACTTGGGTTGCTTTGTGGGAGCTCCTAGCCCAAACTGGGGGATCTGGGTGCCCCTGGACTGCAAGATGATGCTGAAAAATACTTGGGACAAATACATCTTTCTGGAGAGCAGAAGACTGAATGAGGGTCTTGTGCAGTTTATGTGCTGCTACTTCTCTAGGGAAGGCAACCGATGAGAAAAGTTTCTCTTTCTTGAAAGGTTTAAGGACCTCTGGTTTTGTGTTCTTCTCTTTGTTGAGCTTGCTTTAGTGACACTAAGGAGATGGCCTGATGGATCTGGTGGAGCATTGAGTCCATCTCCTGGTTGCCAAAAGAAAGTCTGAATTGGAGTAAGATTTTATTGCCATTGTGAAGCTTTGTAAGCCTCCTTCTTCGAAGCAGTACAGCAGAACAGGAAGGAATTACAAAGAACAAACACAGGAACTGTGCTTTTCCCAGCTGAAGTTGTACGAATAACTAAGTATCACACACTCAGCTTAATTTCTGCTGTCTTACATCCTAGGAGAAAAGCTGATTTCTGTTGCACTGAATTAAATTACATTTTCATACTGATTGACACAATCAGACTTTGCTTCTACTTGTCCTACAAAAGTAACCATTATCTGGTTTAGTTCTTGAAACTAGGCTGCTCAGCTCTTGCAGTGATGCTATTTTATCACTGTATTGATAAACAAACGCTTTGTCCAGGGGTAACATTGGTCTGAAAGGTCTTATATGCATATTGCATCACTTGCTCAACTGCAGTTTTCAAAAGGGCATTATTTTTCCTAAGTGAAACAGTATTTTTAACATGTACAAATATGCTGTGCTGTTACCAGCTGCCAGGTGCAGAAGCTTTTTGTGCAAGGGGTGAATGCAAGTAACAAAAGCTGGTTTCCTTCCTTAACTGCAGACAGCTTTTAAAACAAAGTTGGTGCCTGGAAACCAAGTACAAACACATGTTTGAGTTGTGTGGCTCCTTGCAACTCCCTCAGCTGATGCCAAACAGCCAGCTCCAGGAAGATGAACCTCAAATCATGACTTCTCATCTGATAAACTCCTATAAACATCTGATAAAGTCAAGGATGTGACATCTGCTATGGTGCCACAGTGCAAGCATTTACTGTAGATC